CCCTAAATAGCAATTTCCATCTTATTTTCCGTTATCCCAATATAACCCCAACATTCCTAACCCTAAGCCCTGTCCTCTGCCCACTGTCCACGTGTTGTCCAGAATTGGCTTACAAGCCTCGTGATCCTAACATATTCGCCAGCCGCCGCCAGACAATCTCCAAGCCCTAAACCTTAAACCACCCTAAACCCTAAACCCTAAAAACTAAACACCTCAAACCTTAAACACTAAAAACTATAGACCCAAAACCCTAAAGCCTGGGCCCTGAACTTTGGCTTTCCCCCGCACATACCCATGATAACAGTAGCCTATATGCCGACTATTCTGGGGGTTTATAAACGCCATTCCTTGAGATATCGCAGATCCTAAGCTCTAAACCCGTAAATTGTGATCTAAACCTAAAACCCTAAGGGTCCAAGTACCTAACAATCATATACTTACCAAAAACCAGTACAACAAGTACTATTACCACAATCCCAAGTACCTAATTATTGGGTACATGGAACCTCTGGGAGCCCTGCACCCTCAATTCATAAACTAAACCTGCCCTAAACCCTAAATCCTAAGACCCACCCCCCTAAACTTCTAAGCCCTAAACCCTTAAACTTCCTAGCGGCCCCGAGGTCCCCACAGCTGCTGTCTGCAAGCCATTAGGTCAGCAGGAACCTGCCCAGCCTGCGCGAGTTACAAAGGCCATATTCAGGAAACATGGGATTTAGGGTTTAGGGTTTAGGGGAATCATGGGTTTTAGGGTCTAGGGTTTAGAGGAATCATGGGATTTAGGGTTTAGGAGAATCATGGGATTTCGAGTTGAGGGTTTAGGGATTAAGGATAACTGAAAATCGAGACGAATCATGGGATGGAGGAGACAGCAGCAGCAGTTTGGGTATGGTAGCTGACTCCTGTTTCCAAAGTGTCCATTATGGAAGCAGTTTCCCCAATGGGCTTCCTGAAAGGATTCCCATAGGATTCACGGTTGTTATATAAGGTCTGGGCAACTGGTCAATGGAAAATTGGTGAGTGTGTTGTCGGTTTCCAATTTTTGGTGTATATGTTGTAGTTATCGTTTTTGGTAAGTGTGTTATCGTTTTCCAATCAAAAACCTTGCGTCACGGATCCAATGTCCATCCTTTACATATCTCCTATGACTGATAAAAAAAACACCCATCATATGGCTTAGGCCCTGATAGACCGAGCTTGAGCGCGTCTGATCTGAAAACATGATAGATAATGTTTCATGCCCCTAAGTGATTGAGCACTGTTACGCGGACCTGGCACGAGGTCAACCACCATGCATCATATTGCATCAGCACATGGGGCTGGTCGAAGGAGAGCTACGCTATGCGTGAGCCATGCGTGTAGATTCCATGTAGGTGGACCAATCCACCTGAATCTATCGGGCGTTCTCCTTGGCCCCTTGGCACAAGGAGTTGCACCTAAACTCTTATGCCAATCCCTCGCCGCGGGCATCACGCTCTAAACAGCAAGGGATGGCAAAACTGTCCTTGGAGGATGACGGATATGAACTGTAGACAAATGTCCCCCTACGTTTGGAGCACCTGGTTGCCTCACCACTTGACGTACACGTAGGATCTGCTATCCTTACGGGACTTCCTGCTGCATGTCTCGGGGTCGAAGGTATTCTTGAACCAAATATCGAACTTGGAGCCGCACTTCTTGATGACAAAGACTTTGTAACCTTTCTTTTCAGCGTATGACTTCATGCTGTCAATCATGTCGTCATTAAACGCATGCCCCTTTGTCCACTCCTCATCGTTGCGGTCAGCATCTACAGCCACGCTGTCCAGCTCTTTCCGAGAATCGTGGCCCTGCTCTGCCCTCATGTCTGCAATAATCTTTTGAGCTGCCTCGAGCTGTCCATCCCCTTTTATAGCTGCAGGGACCTCATCCTTCTTCACAAGACCCCTACCCACAGCTGCGGCGACCTTTGCGTCACTTGAATAGCCAGCCATCGAGATATGCCTTAGGGCCCTGGGCAGAGCTTGAGCGGCTACACTCTGCAGATCTCCAGGAATCTGATGTGACATGATGGATTGTGGTTCATTTCACACCCAACACATGAAAGTTCTCATCCTCTGATTGAGTACTCAACCACCATAGTAAGATTTCGTATCAAAACGGAACAGACCATGAGATGCAAGCGCACGCGGTCCTAGTGGAACTCACAGAAAATGAGCTGGGCCCCGGGCCGCTGGCGGATGAAACTGAACCTGGGTTTTCATGGCGCTAGGAGAGCATGTGAGAGGTGCACGAAGATCTTTCGGGCATGAATGGAACGCTCGAGCTTGTAGCCGGGCATGCGTGGTGCGAGCCAGCTTTCTCATACATCAGATTGCGTCAGCACATGGGGCTGGTCGAAGGAGAGCTACGCTATGCGTGAGCCATGCGTGTAGATTCCATGTAGGTGGACAAATCCTGAATCTATCGGGCGTTCTCCTTGGCCCCTTGGCACAAGGAGTTGCACCTAAACTCTTATGCCAATCCCTGGCCACGGGCATCACGCTCTAAACAGCAAAGGATGGCAAAACTGTCCTTGGAGGGTGTGAACTGTAGACAAGTGACTACATCGCAGGGCCCAGTTGCCTCACTACTTGACGTACACGTAGGATCTGCGATCATTACGGGATTTCCTGTGACATGTCTCGGGGTCGAAGGTGCTCTTGAACCAAATGTCGAACTTGGAGCCGCACTTCTTGATGACAAAGACTTTGCGTCCCTGGAGTACAGCATGGTCCTTCATTGCCTGAATCTCTGTGTCATTGAAGGGTCGCCCCTTGAGGCTAGATGCGTCGTTACAGTCAGCATCCACATCCACTCCATCCAGCTCTTTCCAAGGATCTCGCGCTTGCTCCGCCTTCATGTCGGCAATAGCCTTCTCGGCTGACTCGAGCTGCTCTTTCACACGCTGCTCCGGAATGACAAGGCTAGCACCGGCAGCTGGCCGCATCCGCGACGGGATCAAGCCCTTCACTGCATCATCCAACAATTCTTTGATACCTGTCATGGTCTCATCTTCCCAGTTTTTCTGGTTCTTGGCAGGAACTTTGCGCATGAAATGCACAGAGGCATCCTTGATGAGAAGCTCGCTTGCCTGCTGCATCATATCAGATTCATACGTAATCATCTCTAGGGCAGTGTTGAAGTCATTTTCAGCCAGCTGGTTGACCAGCACAGCTGTGTTACTGTTGTTGAGCGATGGCACGTACTCGCATAAAGCTTTGCAAGTCACCAGGTCCTCGTGGGCAAGACGGCCACCAGGACCCATGGCCATCACAAAGAGAACATACGCATTGATGTCGGGAAGGACCTGGAAGGCCTCTTCAATGGCTTTGGCGTTTGTCTGTGCATCTCCATTGGCATGCAACAAGCCAGGCATGTCACAAAGAATGTAGCCAAACGTGCCCTGGGCGTACAGGGCATACTCCAGCTGCGTGGTGACGGCATCCGTGTGTGTTGCATGACGAAAAAGATTTGCTTGGTTGAACACATTCAGCAGGAAGGACTTCCCAGCTCCAGAGTTGCCCACAGCAAGAACTTTGAACCAACGCTCTACCTGTTCAAAGTCACTACCTTGCATAGCAGCAAGCACCTCATCCTCTTTCTTGAATAACCGCTTCTTTGGCGGCAGTGCTTTCATCCTGTCGTACTGTGGTGGTAGCAACTTGTTGATAACGTGAAAAGCCTCATCTTTGATGAGCTCCTCATTCTGCATGGCTGTCTCCTCATTCCATTGCAAAAGGGGATAATAGGGGTTATACAGGGGTTACGAAGGGATTATATAGGGATTATATAAAGGCTTTATGGAGATATACATGGAAGCTGTCTCCTCATTCCACTCAGCCAGATTGCCGAGCAATGCCAGCGCCCTATCCCGCATAGCCTGTGTGTCACTGTCGTTGCCTGGTAGGCGAAGCAACTTTGTGAAAGTAGTCCTGTCGACTGGCCTGCCTGGCATAACATAACCTGCCGGTGTTCTGGCAGAGTACAGGTCTGTCACAGCGACCAGGGCGACGAAAAAGTGAGCGGCAAATTTGCGCTCCGCATCATACCCTCTTGTGTGCGCATATGCCTCGAAAAGGAAGAAATATGCATCGAACTTTTTGTCTGGCTCTGGAACTTGCCAAACCATCTCTGCAAGCTCGCTAGGGGTCTTGATGTCTTCGTCGAACGCCTTGCTCACCTCGATGCCAAGTGGAGTTGTGGGCTTATAGCCCAACTGGTCCTTAACGCCCTGGATCAGTCCTCCACCAGCTTCACGCGCGGCAAGGCCTGCAACTTTTGGTGGCAACTTGTCCAGGATCAGGCTCGCCTTGGAACTGCTCTTATAAGGCCATGATCCAAAACAAACAAGAAAAGAGTGGAGTCATTTTGTGTATAAGTGTTACAACTTGAGGAATATCTGGAAAGCAGGACCTACCAAGTCAGGTGGCCTTCTCCTCCATGTGGTCAAGGCAAAGGCGAACTTCTCCACCTGCATTTGACACCTGCAACTGCGCTTCCTTTGAAAGCTTGCCCGTCAAGAGCTCCACTTTGTCAGTAGCTGTGTCGAGCGCGATCTTGATCACATCGTTCGCTGCTGCCTGGAACCTGAATACCATGCGATCACCAGCTTCCTCGACGTGGTCAATCACACCATGAACCTGCTCGCCGCCTTCCCGGATCAACGTGAGACCAGTCTCTTCAACTTCGCGAGCGGCATGTGAGATTACCCTTTTCAGGGCCTCGGCAGGAAAAACGATGCCTTTCACAGCATGGAAGAGTTTCGCCATGGATGCGCGAAATGCAGGACGAGTCAGCTGCAGCCAACAAACTTTCCCCAAGTTGTTGCCTTTCATATATTTCAAGAAATGTGCGCCATGTTGTAAACACGCCACACTGTTCTAGCTGGGAAGCCATCTGAGCTGCGTGCAAGGGTGTGTCAGCCGTTTTGCCGACGGTACCTGGCGGCAACATACAAGTTCTTAGCACCATGCATGGGAAACTCGATACTGTCAATCTAAAGGCCGCTTACCACGTATGATACGGCGGAACCTGCACCTGACATGAACTGATCCTTCTTCTCACCACCTCTGAGACAAAACATGGGAACTGGCACGCTGGTGACGCTGCTCAAGAGACCTCATCAAATGCAGCTTGACATCTTGCGCAAGGGTCCTTCCTTCTGATTGTATTGGTCTCAGTACTGCCAAAGGCGTCAGACAACAGGTTGCGTTCGCTGCAATGCCAGGCCAAGGATCAGGCCTCGCTCCAGGCGTTGACCGACACACAAGTTGAGCCTGAAGTTGAATGATGGAGCACAACACCAAAACTACAGTCAGATTCAACCTGGACACTCAGCAGCATGATGTCATTTCTTGGGGCTTATTTGCCTTGGCATCGTGATCGAAACCTGGCCCGACTCCCAAGATGCCTGCACTCAGATGCCCTGTTCAATATCTATAAGTCTTGATGATCGCAGCATTCTCACATTCTCAGGCCGAACGAATCAAGCTGATCAACCCGCAATCAACCTGACCAGAACTCAGAAGGCCCATTCAAAGTCTGGCTTCCAGAAGAGCTTAGCCACCAACAGAGAAATACCACTAACAGCTATTAACAGGGATTAGCAGGGAACCTCAGTCCCGACACCAAACGTGCACCCCAATTGGCACGATCTAGGACCCTCGGCCCCAAGCTCAACCACCACAGGGCAAACCCCAAAACCACAACCCGAACACCAAACTTTGAACAACAGAGCTGGACCAAATGCCCCACACCTAACGGTCTCAACTTGGGTGGCTTCCACCCAGTACCCCAGGTCCTGCAACCACCCACCCTTCTTTACCTAAGCCCACTGCACCATCAGCCAAACACAGCACCCTCGCGAGTTGCCATTTTCCTCCTTCAGACTAGGGTTTGGGGCACAAGGCTTAGGGGTTTAGGGTTTTGGGTTTAGGGTTTAGGGTTAGATTCACGGCTTACGGGCTGTAGAGGTTTCGTATAGGATCAATACTCATAGGAGCTGATTGATGGTGTCTGTATATGTAGAGATCTTGCAGTTGCAAGATCGATTGCGTATGTGGAATTTGGCATTTGGAGACTCTGCAAGAAGCTAATCGGGAGAAATTTGTCGAGAAAAACTCCCTCCTTAAAACCCGTCAACAAGGATCCCAACCAGATAAAAACTTAACGAAGACAGCAACTTCGAACGTTGGCAGGTCGACATGGTGCTGAAAAGGACCTCAGAAAGCCTATTCAAGTCCAGCTTTCTTATTCACGTAGAACAATTAGATACTACCCCAATGCCTATGCTAGGAGGCCGAAAAAGAAACAGCGCTTAGCACGGAGTCCTCCCTGAAATCCGCTAGTGGCTCCAAGCAGAAGCACATGGTGTTACTCCTCGCCCTCGAGAACCAGACAGCCACCGCGGAATCAGCCTCCTCCATGCTGTGCAGAGATGGGAGGCCTTTTGGGCCGAAATGAGTGTAGACGATAACAAGGGGGCTTACATGGAGGGTCAGGGGGACTTAATAAGTAGGTTAATAATAGGGATAACTAGGGTTACTATAAGGATCATAGGGTTTTTTTTAACCTACTTGCTAAGTCCCCCTGACCCTCCAAGTACGTCAGGGGATTCGAAGGGGAATACATTGACACATGGCCACATCCCAGGGCAAATCGGTACCAGGCAGGCTCTCCTCAACTACAATTTGACTGCTATGTGGGTGGTTGTCAAAATTATGGTCCCTTTTTGGGAACCCTAAATATTAGGTGCCGTATTATAAAAGATCCAAAAAGGGACAATAATTTTGACAACCCCCTATGTGAGCTGTAGTCTAAACTCCTAGTAGTCAGACCCCACCAGATCTTCCGACAGGGCTGAGAACCTGGGCGCGTTTCAGAGTTTAACAAGAAGGGGACCCCAGTGAATGAAAAGCTTACCTTTGGAGGTGCGGGATTAAAGGGCTTTGGGGTTTAGGGTTTGAGGTTGGGGTCTGAGGATTCACCCGTCAGATGGGAGACGTGTTTTCGGACACCTCCACCACTTTATGCATCAAGAGCACAAACAAACCTAGGCTCCCGGCGCAGTCTCTCCCTCGCCTCAGAAAGGCAGCTACTGGCTTCTCTTTGCACTCTAGGATGATGTCTTGCTCCTTTTTGTATTGCTGGTGACGAGCCCTGGAAATAGTATATGGACAACAACAATGCGAAAACAAGGGCATAGTCTGAGACTCGGGCAAACACGGTGTAAGTCAACCGAACACTTCTGCCACCAATTTCCAGCCTCAGGCTAGCGGCTACCCAGACCCCTGAAAGGATCTAAAAATTAGATCCCCGGTATAAATCCATAAGAACCCTATATAATTCCCCATAGTCTTCTAGGGGATTAAGTTTTTAGATCCCTTTGGGGGTCTGGGTAGCTAGTATCAGCGCTCTTAGGATCCAGTCTGCGCTGCCTGGGATGACAGGCCCCGAATTCGCGAGAAGCGACAGGTGACGTCTGAAATGACTCCAGTAAGGCTTTCGTAAAGGCCTAAACCAGAAACCCTAACTCCACGAAAGCTTTTGTAAAGGCCCAAGTGGGTCTGAGAAATGTCGGTTTCTGTTTAGTTGAGGCCTCCGCAGCTTCCTGCGCCAAGGTACCGCAGCGCAAGAAAGCATGCACAACCACGCCGTCACGGCGAGGTAGCGCAGCAGCAAGACCTGAGGTTTTCTGGAGCCATGGAGCCACCATCTACGGACTACACGGCGCAAATGCCACTGACAACTGAATACTACAGGTGACCAGGCGGTAATAAATGGTTCCAAAGGCATGGCGCCGAATTTGAAAAACATGTCGCGCGCATTTCGCTCCAAAACGACATGCTTTGCCATTGGGGTAAAACTTTTCAGCACAGGAAGCCCCCTGCTTCCTCCCATCACAAATCCCAGAACACTTTTTGAACTCAAGCAGGTGTCAAACCTGCAGGTTTTCAGAAAGAACCACCGCTAAAGGAGTGTATCCGATGGATCGCGCGACTGCAGAAGCTCTTCCAAACAACAAACCTAACTTGAAGTAGACCTTGCTTGGGGCGAGATCCGGGTGAGTCGTGTGTGCTCAGTCCCGCCAAAACCGCGAATCATCTACCCGATATGGAGCAGTTGCATAGTACAGGACTCTAATGTAGCCTCTGGTTCTTCATCAGCAGCATGCTCAGCTGTGAGGGGGAGTAGATTGGCGGAATTGCTCAAATGGAGATACACCTCCAGAACATTGGGTCCTTACTTGCTGGATGGACCTGTAGCTGATCCCTAAATCAACAGCAAGTGATGGCAAGTTCAGGAAACATCTGTATCATGTGGTGCACAAAAGACACTTGCTGTTCACCACTAACCCCTTCAATATATACCCTATTATACTATAGTGGTTTCCATTTTCTTTGCCATTATCCCAGTATAACCCCAATATATACCCTATCAACTGGAAATCCTACTAACCCTATAACCGCAAGGGACGAAGGCTTGCCAGGTTGCTAGCAGCTCCTCCGGGTCAGTCTCTGTCTGCGGGCTACATCCACAGAGGCCTGGTACCTCGCCACGTTATCAATTATGAGCTAGGAACTAAATTTAGGGTGGGAGGGACCTATAAGGGAACATATAGGTTTTTGCGGGGGACCTATTAAGGGATCTACTACAAATTTAGTCCAGGGCTCATATGAGTCGCCCGTATTAGAAGAGACCATTCACCCATGCATGTCTTCTCTGAGCTTAAGGGCTTCGGTTTCGTGTCAAGGGCGGATCATACAACTATAGCCACTCAGACAGATTCATCGACTCCCACCACAAGCGTCTGGAATGCCTTCTGATACCACTTACTTGTACGCTTTCTCGATCTGGACTTGTAGTTGCAGGCTCTACAGGGGTAGGGAAGAAGGTCTGGATATTGAAAACCACCACCCAGAGGGCTGCTTCCCGCCCAAATTCTTGGTACCCAAACCCTCAAAGAACGCCGTTTAGGGAATAGGGTTTAGGGTCAGAACTGCTGCACCCTTAAACTTACCAGTGGTTGGTAGGGCATAAGTGGGTATGTTCTATACGGATTATATAGGGATGATATTCCCTATGCCTGCTAACACCTGTAAGTAAAGGATCCAAAGAATGGCGACGATAGAAGGACTTAATTTCGCTATGACAACATTGGCGACGGCGTTTATGACAACGGCCTCCATGACGTTATGAGCGATGAGGACGACTTCTTGGGGATCCCTTAGGCAGTCTGGGGTGCAACTGGATCTTTCTCACCAAGCCCAAGACCATCTCACTGGCAGCTGCTAACCAGCTCTGCCTAAACAACCCGACTTACCCGACCTAACCCTAGCTGGAACTGTGCAGCGCATGCAAACAAGCTCTGGAAGGTGGACTGCGGCCTTGCCTGCTACCATCGGGAAGACTGAGCAGATGTTCGTGGCGTTCTTGACTGGCTTCCTCAGCGATCAGAACACTTTGCATTTGTGAAGCTCTCCAACGCCTCCACTCCAAAAAGCAGCTGAATGAAGAGATGCAAGCGAGCAATTGCCATGAACAAAGCTGGGTTGCTGTTAAGGTACTGAATTTAGATTACTATGATAAGGAAACCCCACGATTTACTAGAGGCCTATATTATGCGAGTTTAAACGCAACCCAGAAGAAACCCATCTGGGACTTGCACTTCGACACTTCAAAAATCAGCGTTTTGTTGGGGCGCCAGGCGCAGCAAAGGCCCATCGCTCTTCGGCACCATCTACTGTTTAGGGTTTAGGGTTTAGGGTGA